CCGTCATTTCTCCTCAAATAATTATGTAGCAGGCAGGTCATGCCACCACAACCAAAAGTAAAGGTGGCGAAGACGATGTTCAAATTTTAAATGATAGGTCGTTTTATTTACAAAAATCCTGTAAGGGGCCGAATGGTGATCTCGGACGCCTATCCGGATCAGGTAAAGGTTTTCCCAACCCACCAACATCGGGTTTTTCCTCTACTCCCCAAGCCAACTAAGTGTATTTCATACTTTATCAATGTTTATGTTAATAAATTAAATTTTAAAAAAATGTTCAAACAAATGACGACGAAGAGTTCGAGATTCCTCCCGATCCAGCCGAAGCTGATTTGGAACTGATTAATTCCATCCTAAATTCATATGAACAAGTTTAATCGTTATGATATTTATTTTTGTCTTTTGTTAATTATGATGTACGGTGTAATTGTTATACATCTGTATAAAGTCGTGCTGTCTAAATTTTGACCACCACCGGCCTTGATCTTCATCATTATTTTATAAATTTACATTAAAATGGCCTTAACTTCACGTAACAACGAATTTTTTCCCCAAAATAATCCCAAACTCGTCCCAAGCTCTCGGTCACAAAATTTACCATCAAATGAGTTAACCTTATGTAGACACGTAACTAAGTAAAATTCAGGACCTTGGTCTGAACTGAATCAGGGTGCATAAACTTTTTTGTTGTCCGTGGTTTCTCCTAAGGGGGTGATGCCAGGATGAATTTTTTTCAAAAAATTAAAAGTTCGGGAATTCCATGCGATTTTGCCATGGAAACCACCAAATTCTAAGCAAAATCGCATGGAATTCCCGAACTTTTAATTTTTTTGAAAAAAATTCATCCTTGCATCACCCCCTTAGGAGAAACCACGGACAACAAAAAAGTTTATGCACCCTGGAACTGAATATAATGCTCTGGATTTTTTGTGGTCCAATTTTTTTGGAGAATTTCGTCTCTTACATATCGTTAAAATATTTACAAAATATATGTATTTTTGAAAAAATGTCTAGAATATTTACGTATTTTTTAAACAAACAATAGCGGAATAGCGGAAACATTTATAAATATATTTGCATATCTGAAAACCTAGAAATATGTGCAAATATATAAAAATATTTTTAAATTTTGTGATCGATGCGAGTTAGCAAACACACGCACAAAGTGTTACGTGATCACATGAAAATTTGAGCATGCATACATATCCCCCCTCTGCTCCAAGAGATGAAAAGGACACAGAAATCATTTCGTTCTTTACTACCCCGCCGCCCTTTTGGTGGTGGGTCTCTGGTCTCTGGTGGGTGTAGTACTTCTTAATTATTACCATTTTAGATTACAGCGAGATTACTCGCCCACTTTTTGAACATTTTTGGAATCCTGAATGGCAAATGGGTCTCCTTCTTCTTCCTCTTCTTGGAGGGAAGATGGCCAAGTAGGAAAAAAGAAGGAAGACGAAGGAGCAATCACTTTCCGAGCCTTGACTTGCCAAAAGTGCCACGTTCTTAATGCATATAATGAGATTATCAAGGAGATGAGGTTGATTCCTCTCAATTTCTCAACTCTTCTTTTCCCCCTTGGAGTTGGGCCAACATGGAAGCAAGCAAGTAAGAAGCAGGCCAGTCCAGTGCAGATGAAGACGACAAAACTTACTTGCTCCACTTTCAACCAGCCAAAAAGGAGGAGGATGTGTATGGAAAAGACGCCATGTGACAATCCTGATGTGAAAAGTTAACTTAATGGCTGGCATGAATCTTACCCAGCGCAGCGGAATATGTAGTACGAAATGCTCGAATTGTTTTGAATTATTGCTAATTTTTCTTAATATGTCGGTCGGTTATGCAGTTAAGTAAGTGGAAAGAGGGGAAAAATATCTGGTAGCAGTTTCTTTATAATGGTAGCAGAGACTGATTAATAACGATTCGTTGTGAGTAAGCTGTGTAAAATGTTAAAACCGAGAGTAATTGTAAGAAATTGCAAAAAAGAAAGTGTTTTTTGCAGTATTTTGACCTGCAAGAAATGCAAAACACAAGAAACTACATCCCGACGCTATGTTTCATACGGCGCGTGGCTAGACGTCCGTCGATAATTTCTTGCACTTTCTCCCAGTTTCTTGCACCTCGCATTTCTCGCATTTCTTGCTTTGCATTGTAAAAAATGTATTTAGTAAACACGCAAAAAACGAAACACTGATTAAAACACAACAGTTTTATTTAGCTGGAAACGTTCTAGTTCTCGTGTACGAATTATACCCGCCAAAATCGATACTTTTGCTCCTGATGTAACTCCCCGTCTGGTGATCTGACTATCCCACATATTCTGATTGTTGATCTGGTCTGGTCATTGCAATTATTGATCGCTCCGTCTGGTCTTCGATTCTATTTAGTCCGTAGTACATTACAGACCTTGAAATGAATGAAGCCTAACAAACAAAGTCTGTAACTCTCAGAATTGGTCCTTCTCTTGCCTTCCATCCAATCCAATTCATTATTTTATTGCTCACGACTACTTCCTCTAACTGTTTGGTACACACTTCTGCCCGTATAATAAGGCTGGCATGACCATCTAGCTCCATTACCATTTACGAAATGTGTGACTCAATTACTTTGAATCCACTATGTACGTACCACTTCAACTACTGTATTACTAACTCTATTAGATCAGGCAGCAGGGTTTCGGGTGAAAGTCACCGGGTGCAGAAATGAAGGGGAGAAAGTGTTTTTTTGCGGGTAAATATTTTGATCTGCAAGAAATGCAAGGTGCAAAAAACTACTTCCGGCCGCTATAGTTCATACGGCGCGTGGCTAGATGGCGCATATTTCTCGCACTTTCTCCCGTTTCTTGCACCTCGCATTTCTTGAGTTTCTTGATTTCCAGTGCAAGAAATTCAGCAAATCCGCAAGAACGAAACGCTGACAAGTAACCACGTGCAAGAAATAACTGCAAGAAAGTGTTTTTTGCAGGTATTTTGGCTTGCAAGAAATGCATGTCGCAAGAAACAACCCACCACCGCCATACTTTATACACGTGGCTGTGTATTTGTCACTCTTTCTCCCAGTTTCTTGCATTACTTCTTTCCCACTGCAAGAATGCAGCAAGCCCTCCATACACGAAACCCTGTCCGTCACCAGGGACTCGCATGGACTGCAACACTACCCATCGTCATCATTACTCTTCTCCTAGCTGTTACACAACAGCATAGAAATCAAATGTGAACGAGCACGAAGACGTCTCTCCGCCAGGATGGCAATCAATACCGCTCTTTTGAGAGACGAATGGGTCGCCGGGCGAAATTTACTGCCCATTTTAAAGAGTGATAAGAGTGATCTCCACGTTAAGAAATTATTAACGAGGCAAATGTGGTCATGTTTAAGTACACAGATTTCCTCATAACCCTCCTCATGAGGCGATGTGTGCCTGCCTGCCTGCGCCTCCATTTACCCAAAACGATTACAAACCTCATGGAGATTAATTTGAGAAACTTTCACCCAACTTTTAAACTTCTTACGCACATCCTAAGCCATATAATCGCCTCACAAAGTTCTGAGCCTTTTGTCTCGGGGACACTGATTACTCCCCATATTTCTTACAGACACCTTTTTATGTCTCTTAGGAATTTAGATTAATGAGCAGCAGCAGCAGCAGCAAACTGCTCCATCCAGAGTGAAAGCATGGACACAAAAACTTAAACTTAACCCAAGTCCAGTGGCCGCGGAGACAGAGGGACAATGTCCCCACGGTTGTTCGATGTCCGCATCATCTCCTCATCTTATATAAACCCGGCCCTACAATGTTAATGTCCCCACAGCTTCCGCGGGTCCTGAACTCCACCGCTAAAGTAGACCAGACTAAAATATGTAAGCATCAACAACTTGTTCGCCAGTTTTCTAAACGGAAAAAGGTTACGTCACATTTATTCAGAATAAACAAGGTTATAAATATACTACACCCTCGCAAAGAGTCAAGTGTGCCAACAAACTATTAATCATAACGGAGGAGAAAGTAATTAACGATTTTAATGTTACTGCGAAGACGTTAAGTAAATTACTGCCTTTGTGTTACACAGATTTTTTTTGCGCTAAACTAATTCGTAACGTTCCATATATTTATGAAGGGGAAAGGAGAAATCTTTAATTAAAAACGTAATCGCTAAAACGTAACGTAATGAATGTGCCACATTTTAGCTTGATCTGCTTTTCCTCGTGTACTAATCCGGTTGGGGGAAAATCTCATTTTCTAACTTCCAGGTCAAGTCAAGTCGGACTACGGACGAGGAGATGGAGACACAAAGCTCATCTAATCAGATTGGTAACAGATTAGGCTTTGACTTTCTCCTTCCTTATTCCAAAGTAAGGAAGGAGGTAAGCAAGCAACAGAGCGAGGCCAAGAAGGGAAATAGAAAGGTTGGTTTGGTAGTGAGGCTACTTAACAAACAAAATCTTGCCCACTTTCACCAATGCTGAATTAACAGATGTGTCTCAGAAGAGGTTTGCGAGATAAAGTATGTTCTGTTATGGGTGCATAAGTCATAGATTAAGGTCAGCTAGCAAAGTGAAACTGTTTCCAGGAAGGTTGCTTAGTTCATTATGCTTAAGTCTGGCCCAATTTTGCTCGTCTGAATTGGTTTTAGGTTATTAAAATGGTACAGACTTTCTAAATATCTTGAATTCTTAAAGCGAGGCTTCTTTTTGAAATATCTTGAATTCAAGTTTATGGCACCTTTAGAAATCTGGTATGCTCACGCAGATATTGATTTCCGGGTGTTAAAGTTGCTACCACTTTGGTGTTAAAATTATGCCTAAGTAATTGTCTTTGAAAAATTCCTTTAGATGTGGTACAATGTTAATAGTAAGTATTACTAAATGGAATAACTTTACAATGTCACTTTGGAATGTATTAATACCGCTTGGTATTATTTTAGGTAATACTGGATTTCTAACATTGTGCACAATCACAACGATGAAATATGACGACAAATTATGTTAAAAATTTTCATCCTTACCCAACACGTTGAGCCGATAATTTAGCGTGATGACCATAACGTGTCCGTACGAGGCCAGGGAGGAGCCATCGATGACATTTCCTGACCCCCATTCCCACGACTCCCCTTGTAGAATGACCACTATGGCGAGGCCCACGCCGCCCTCGCCACTCGCACTTTCACCGCCGCCTCCGCCGCCGCCCATGTTTTCTCCACCCCCGTCACCCCCGTTTATTGATGAGGACGATGACGGGAAGCCTTTCCCTCGAGCGTCTGAAATAAATAAATACATACAAAAATACAATTTCACATTCCCACTCAATTTCAGAGAAACACTTCTTCATTATTTTTTCCTCTGAGAAAAACGGGGAAACAATTGCATGGAAAATGGATTATTCAGAAAGAAGACTCGCATCAGCAGCAGGGTTTCGAATGCAAGTAACCAGTGGCTGCAGAAGCCGTTGGGACATTTGGGGACATTGAAATTGTAGAACAGGGAGGGGTTTATATAAGATGTACAGATGATTAGGACACGGAATAACCATGGGCACATTGTTCCGCTGTCCCTATGTTCTCTGTCGCTTCCGCGGCCACTGCAATCAACCATGTGCAAGAAATAATCGCAAAAAATTGGTTTCTTGCAGCTATTTTGACCGCAAGAAATGCAAGGCGCAAGAAACTACCCGTCGCTATAGCTCATAAGCCGCGTGACTAGATGGCGCATATTTCTTGCACTTTCTCCCAGTTTCTTGCACCTCGCATTTCTTCCATTGCAGTGCAAGAAATGTACTTAGAAAATCCTTAAGAAACGAAACACTGCCTCGGAGTAGATACATTTTCTTTATTTTTTGCCGTAATAAGGATCATGTCAAGATCCACACCCACTCGGAGTACGAGCATCGAGATTAAGATGGGATGGGACTCCATGAATTGGGGAGGAGGCCAGGAACAGATAAGTTGATAACAACCACGTGATTTATGACCCTTCCCTCCAGACCTAGGGATCCAAAGACTTTCTCCAGTCTCTCATTTTGACAGGGACAATCGGTTCTCAGTCATGAAGAAAATTGGAATTTTTTTCATTCGAGGCCACAGAATCATCCATTTTTTAAGGGAGAGAGGAGAACAAACCAAACAGACTTTTTCTCTATGTCTGTAGCCTCGAGGATTATACATACAGCGACGAAATTGCGGTAGTGAAAGCATGGCGAAATCATATTATATTCGTGTCCATCAAGTGCCAGGTAAGGAAAAAAAGGTGATGAAAATGGGTCATCGCACGTACGTAAGCTAAGAAACCTAATTTTTGATCGTGGGACAAAGAAACGTCATCAATTTGATGATACACTGCTAAAATTCTGGTAGAGTTAGATATCTACTCCGTACGGGTGTTGATTTGATGATAACTTTCTACCCGATTGGTAGTAGTTTGTTTCCGAGGGGTAAATTTTTCAGGAATACACTATTACTAAAGTGTAATACTCGTTATAACCAGTGCCGGTAGAATCACATACATATGTACTCCAGTCATTAATGATTTAATACTAGCTTTCTAAGAGTGTGCAAGCCTAATTTTTGATTGTACCAGAAAACACCGTCATCAATTTGTTGTTATGTAAGCGTGCTTTCTTTCCACGTGTTTGTACATACATAAGTCAATTAACAATTACGCAATCTCCCCATCTTAATAATTAGCCCAATTAGTGCCCCATGCACGACGCACTTGGTCAAAATAATGAGAAGTGGAGGGATTTATTTGCAACGAAAATATTTTGATGAGCCATGAATAAAGCTATGAATAGAAACGCTTCATATTTCCATTCCACTCGAAAAAGGGGTAAAAAGGATGATAATAATAATGATGCGGCTGCGTCCAGGCGGGATAAGGTAATAACATTGAGACACTTCAACCTCTAGCCAAACGTGAGGTGCGGGTGGGGTAGTCATAAAATAAGCCGCAACCAATTTAAGCTCCACTTTCACCGAGAATCTAATCCGAGCACCCACCTTTGTTCGTGCACTATCATCACTGGCGATGGACAAAAGGGGGGATGAGTCGTAGTTATGAGGACTATGGATACCTCCTCAGTTATGAAATTGACGTTGATGTGATGGGAGATTGAACATGTCCTCCATTGTCGTGAAAGGATCCATTCCCCCAAAAAGTGAATGGCTATCGAGTAGAAGGAAAAGCATTGTGTGGGGTAGCCAAAGTTTTATGAGGATTGTTTGCCCATCCTGACGGTGATTCAAGGCTCGATTTAATCACAATTCCTCAATCATGGCTCCTTTTTTGGGAGAGATATTTATTATATTCGTATTAAAATTGGGAAATGGAATGTGAATATACTATTAAAAATGTGGTGGATTCAGATATACCATTTTTTGGAGAGGTATTATATTCCTGTAAAAATTTGGAAAATTTACCGAATTTATTTACCACACTGTTAAAAATCTGGTAGAGTCAGATATATACTCGGTACTGGTATTGAATTGGTAATAACTTCCTACCGGATTGGTAGTAGATTGTTTTCCAGTGGTAAATTTTGCATTTGAACAACATTACTAAACGGTAAAAATTTCCTTTATTACCAGTGCCGGTAGTGTCATACATAGATCTACCCCGGTCAATACTGATTTAACCCCAGTTTTCTTAGAGTGCACACATAAATAACTTAAAACTGTACACTTCTTGATAATAATTTTGAATAGAAAGTGGACTGAATACACACATACGCATAACGGTATTTGGATAGCTTTCATCTCCTGGTTGGAAGAGGAGAGCCGCTTGGTAAATGGAGTCAAGGTGGGAGTATATTTTATGCAGAGCAGAGAGTTTGAACAGCTTTCCATTTTCCTTTATCTACTTTTGACTTTGAGTCTTTTCAAAGTGTCTTCCACTCGGTATCTTAAGGCCTTTGAGGAACCAGGTCAAGTCAGGAAGATGAATTAGTTGTCGAGAAGTGAAAGGTCCTTCATAAATTACGCTTTTAGCGGCAGCGACGGACACCCATACCATCCCTCCGGCGGGATAGATGATGGCAAAGGAGGAAGAAAACTATTCAATCCGATACAGAGATTAAATAGGGACGACGATGAAGAGCAGTGGCCGCGGAAGCTGTGGGGACATCTGGGGACATTAACATTGTAGGATAGGGGTAGGCAGGGGTTTATCTAACATGGGGAGATGATGGGGACATCGAACAACCGTGGGGACATTGTCCCTCTGTCCCCTCAAGCTTCCGCGGCCACTGGCACCCGAGAACAAGAGTAGAGTGGCAACTTGGAGATTATTTCAAGATCAGAAGAAGAGGAGAACAGATTCTAGCACGAACATACTAAAATATTCCCGTGTTAAGGAAGGAACGCTTTGTTTTTTAGTTGGTGAAAAGAAAGTGAAAGTGGGGAAGAAGATAATAGTTCTCATAATAGTTCATTCATAATAGTTTTCTTGTCAAGGAATTTCCCTTTGGAAGTGAAAGTTAAATGAATTTCTAAAATTGTATTGTAATCAACATCGGTTTGTTGTGTAATAAGTATGTGACCATAACTATGTCTTCTTATGGTTTTGTGGAGCGTAGAAGAACTTGGAGGAGAGGAAATTTAGTTTCTTTGTTAAATTTCCAACTCCTGTGTTCAACTTGAAGAAGAAGAAGGAACAAGTATGTAGGAGATGAAGAAGAGAGAAAGTTGGTCATATTTTAGAGAACAATCGAAATATTACGGCTGGCCTTTTAGACATTTCTACTTGGAAACGTCACACTGTGGTATATCACATTACATAACTATTTTTGAGAGAAGGTGCAAAGTAGGCTGTTCAAAATTTTGGTGGGTATTTCTTATAATTAATACAGAGAGAGAGAGAGAATATATATTGATAAAAAATCGTTGAAACATGTACTTCTTAATATGACCTAAGAAATGCCAAAATATGCATGTAACATGTGCAAAAACATACAAGCACCTGTTAATTTTTGTAAAATTTGTGCTTCTGAACTATTCTGAATATAATGGTCTAGACTTTTTTCTAGCCAAATTTCGTAGAGCAAACAAATATCGTTGAAATATTTACAAAATATTTTCAGTTTTGAAAAAAATATCCTATAAATTATAAAAATGTCATTTTTCAAATAACAGCAGAAATATTTGCAAATATTTGTATATTTGATAACCTAAAAATATGTGCCAATATTTGGAAATATTTTGAAATTTTAGTGCTCTATTCGAGTTAGAGAACACACCCACAAAGTTTGTCATCAAAAGAAGAAGTTGAAAATAAATACATATTCACCTTCTCCCTATTAAACTAGGCTTTCTCCCCAGATTAGTTACCGGAATAATGACCCGGCTCAAATTAAGGGTAGAATAATTGCTCCAAATATTGCAAAGTGGTCATAACTCGACTCCCTAAAATTTCCTTTTTACACTGAAAGCAAATTGATCCCTGCGTTTCTAAGTAGTTGCATCTCTTGCACGGTGAAAGTTTTTAGTTAGGCAGTTTTTAGGTCCAGCCAGATAGTAAGTAGTGAGTAGTACTTTCTTTTTTCTTCCTGGCAAGTCAGACTCGACTCAAGGTAGACAAGAAGAAGCGGAGGAGGACGAGACGAGGAAGAACTTTCTCCTTCTTTATGCCTCCCAACTTTTTTCATTCATTCTTTTATGAGTTTCCAATAAACGATATTGCCATTCCGCCTCGAATTCTAGACCTCTTGTTTGGACACTTTTTTTCTACTTGGAGGAAGAGGAAGAGGAAAAAAGAAGAAGTGAATTTCAATTTAGCTCCTGGAAAATGCTTCATTCTTGTAAATAAAAGAGTCCGTCGTAACGATGGACGAAAAACTGGCTGGATGAAAAACTCATCTGGATATTAGTAAAAGACATTTATCTAAAGAGATACATTTCTCTTCTTCTTCTTCTTCCTTTCATTTTTGTGTCTGTCTGGCTGGAGAAATCTATTAAAACGGGAGGTTTTCATTTGGAGGAAATATATAGGTTTCATTGAGAGAAAGTGAGCAGGAGAGTTTCACTTTGTGTAATGTGGGAATTATGGGTGATCATATTTTTAATTTCTGTGAGACACACATATTTTCTATCTTTGTGTAGAGGTATAGCAGACAAAGGTAAATAGCTGAGCGAAAATGTCGACTAAGAGAAATTGTAAGTAGGATGAAAATGTGAATTTTTAATAAATTCGTGTAAAAATAGAAAAGAACCGTTGTTAAATGGGTCAAACATTCGATAATGTAAATTTTTAAGATATCAATATTACTGTT